TTGTTTTTTTTTTTGTTTTCTTTTTCGTTTGAAAGAGGCAGCGGCAATTCAAACTGAGAGAGAGAGAGAGAGGGAGAGAGACTGACAGAGAGAGTTTGGGCGACAGAAACGCTGCTCAGAAACCTCTGAAACTCTCTCTTTCTTTTGGATTTGGGATTTGGGATTTGGGATTTCGTTCCTTCCTCATCTTTAAATTCCAAATCTTCAACACTTTTCCCCAAAATTCCAGCTCGGAATTTCAAGCTGCGACTCGAATCGTGCAATTAAGGGTTTTGGTTGGTTCTCGATTCACCAGCAAGCTTCTAGCTCAATTCGGTAATTAAATTTTCACTCTTCATTAATTTCTAAATTCCAATTCTATTTTCAATTATTCGCAATTTCTGTGAGAAATTAGGATTCCCCAATTAATTTGAATTCTCAAAATTTGCTCCTTTAGGTGAATTTTCAGAATTGGGTTTTGCTTAATTTTGATTGTTTTTTGTGTTTCAGTTTTGAATTTGGAAATTTGCGTGTAAAAAAGTAAACGATGTTGTCAAATTGGGAAGGTGGGAAGAAGAGGGGCGGAGATTCCGGTAATCGGAAATTGTTGAATGAGATTGAGGGTATAAGCAAAGCCCTCTATGCAGACAAAAAGCCCTCTAAGAGTTCACTTCAGGCAGGGAGTAACCCGTCAATGTCTCTAGGGAGGAACCGTTTACCTGACCCGAAATCGAAAAATAAGTCTGGTGGTGAAAACTTGTTAAACAAAGAGAAGAGGTCCTTTTGGAATTGGAAGCCCTTGAAGGCGATTACCCATATCCGAAACCGTAGGTTTAACTGCTGCTTTTCTCTTCAAGTCCATTCCATTGAAGGGTTGCCCTCCGCTTTGAATGAGATTAGTCTATGTGTACATTGGAAGAGGCGGGATGGTATTTTCGTTACTCATCCGGCAAAGATTGTTCAAGGAACGGCAAAATTTGAAGAGAAGTTGACTCACACATGCTCAGTATATGGTAGTAGGAGTGGGCCCCACCATTCGGCAAAGTATGAGGCGAAGCATTTTTTGCTATATGCTTCTGTGTTTGGTGCACCAGAACTAGATTTGGGGAAGCATAGGATTGACCTCACGAGGCTGCTTCCCCTGACATTGGAGGAGTTAGAGGAGGAGAAAAGCTCAGGGAACTGGACGACGAGTTTCAAATTATCAGGAAAGGCTAAAGGTGGTTCATTGAATGTTAGTTTTGGGTATACAGTTCTTGAAGATAATCCCAGTGCGACAGGAAATAGCCAGAATGTTTCTGAAGCATTGACTTCGAGACACAATAACTCAAGTATAAGGCGTGCTGAAACTCTTCCTAATCAGCAGTCACAGGCCTCGTCTCAATCCGTAGAGGGCATAAAAGATCTTCATGAGGTTTTGCCAGTATTAAGGTCGGAACTTTCTAGTTCGGTAAACACACTTTATCAGAAATTTGATGAAGAAGAGAAGTCAGATACTCCAGTTGACAAGCATCTTGATCCCATAAAAACGAGTTCCTTCCCATCACCTGATTCTGGTAAAAAAGTAGAAAATGAATGTGAAGACAATGAATTTTCCGTAGTTGAACAGGGCATAGAAATAGAATTACCATCAAAGGAGCTGGCGGAATCAGAAGTTGTTACACAGGCTGCTGATGCTTGTCCTGCAGAAAGCCATTTTTCTGAAATCACCACTGGTGTACAGGTAGCAGTTGAAGATGAAGCTGAGCTTGAATCCCAGGCTGAGGAAAAGGGTCGTACCGATGACCTTGTGGTAAGTGAGTCCACTTCCAACAGAGATGCCTTATGCACCAAAGAATCACTCATGAAAGAGCTAGAGTCTGCTTTAGGTGTTGTATCCGATATGGAGAGAGCAGCACTAGAATCTTCTCCTGAAGACCAAAGATGTTATGTGGAAGGGAAATTAGACTCAAACAAAAATATGATGGGGAGGTCCCATAGCTTGGATGATGTTACAGAATCTGTTGCTAATGAGTTCTTGAGCATGCTAGGGATAGAGCATAGTCCATTTTCCTTGAGTTCTGAGAGTGATCCCGAGTCTCCAAGAGAGCGTCTGCTAAGACAATTTGAGAAGGAAGCCCTTGCTGGAGGTTGTTCTTTGTTTGATTTTGATGCAGGCATCAGTGACCAAACAGACTATGGCTACACGCCTTCAACTGAGTCTGGTTGGGAGAATTTATCTGATAGTTTTGATTTCTCGTCTGTGATTCAAGCTGCAGAGGAAGAGCATCAGATAGCAGCTCAGGCAGTAAAAAGTAAAGCGAAGGCCAAAATGTTGGAGGACTTGGAGACAGAAGCATTAATGCGGGAGTGGGGCTTAAATGAGATGGCCTTTCAACATTCTCCACCAAAAAGTTGTGCTAGTTTTGGAAGTTCAATGGATTTGCCTGCTGAAGAACCTTTTGAATTGCCTCCTCTTGGAGATGGGTTAGGTCCTTTTCTTCAGACAAAGAATGGAGGGTTTGTGCGGTCCATGAATCCCTCACTTTTCAACGAGGCCAAAAGTGGCGGGAACTTGATCATGCAGGTTTCTAGTCCAGTTGTGGTACCGGCAGAAATGGGTTCTGGGGTAATGGAGATATTGCAGCATTTGGCATCAGTAGGAATTGAAAAGCTTTCTATGCAAGCAAATAAGTTAATGCCCCTGGAAGATATCACTGGAAAGACAATGGAGAAAGTAGCATGGGAAGCTGCACCTACTTTGGAAGGACCTCAGAGGTTTTTGCGTCTTGTTTGTACACTGGATTTTTAGTTTGAAGTCCAATACTTCCTCATCTTTGGTGAATGGTGAGTGTTGTTAACTTTATTGCATGTCGTTATTGTTGCAGGGAATTCGTGGTGCAGCATGAATCAGTTGGGCAGCATACATCCGATGGGCTAACAAGAGCTAAAGGAATTTCATCTGGGCCTAAGTCTAATAAGTTAAGTTCGAGCGCAGCAGGCAATGAGATGGGCTTAGAGTATGTCTCTTTAGAAGACCTTGCTCCTTTAGCCATGGATAAAATTGAAGCTCTCTCAATTGAGGGGTTGAGGATACAAGCCGGGATGTCCGATGCAGATGCACCTTCAAACATCGGCGCAGAGTCTGTTGCGGAAATCTCAGCTCACCAGGGCAAGGGTGTCAATGTTGGTGAATCCCTTGGTTTGGAAGGAGCTGCTGGGATGCAGTTGTTAGACATAAAAGACACTGGCAATGATGTTGACGGATTAATGGGCCTCTCATTAACTCTTGACGAATGGTTGAAACTTGATTCTGGTGAAATTGATGATGGTGATCATATTAGCGAACGGACTTCTCAAATCCTTGCGGCCCATCATGCAAACTCTTTGGACATGATTCGTGGAGGGTCAAAGGGAGAGAGAAGGCGTGGCAAAGGAGCTAGAAAGTGTGGCTTATTAGGGAACAATTTCACTGTAGCACTGATGGTGCAACTTCGTGATCCACTACGAAACTATGAACCTGTTGGGGCACCAATGCTTTCTCTTATTCAAGTGGAAAGAGTGTTTCTCCCACCGAAGCCAAGAATATACATCTCGGTTTCAGAACTGAGGAAGAATGATCAAGAGAATGAAGAGTCTGAGTCAGTGGGAAAAGAAGAAATAAAGGAGGAGATGAAAGATGAGAAATTGGCCGAAGTGGAAGCTATTCCTCAGTTTAGAATCACTGAAGTCCATGTTGCAGGTCTGAAAACCGAGCCGGATAAAAAGAAGCCATGGGGTACTGCAAACCAGAAGCAGTCCGGTTCCCGCTGGTTGCTTGCTAATGGAATGGGGAAAAGCAATAAGCATCCATTTATGAAATCAAAAGCTGCTCCAAAATCTTCTGGTCCAGCAACGACAAAGGTGCAGCCTGGTGATACCTTGTGGAGCATCTCAGCACGCGTTCATGGCACTGGAGAAAAATGGAAGGAATTGGCGGCTCTAAATCCACATATAAGGAACCCAAACGTTATATTTCCGAATGAGACTCTCAGATTAAGCTGAGTGGATGCCTGGATGGTGAATCTCAAGGTGAATTTCGAATTTCCAATTGGGTAGTGCTTTTGTTCTTATCATTATGCAGCCGGGTTGTGAACGAATCAATATAAACAGGGCATTCCCCCATGGAAGTTTGATGGCCGTGCTTGTGAGGTTCTTTCTTGTTGTCACATGAACATAGTTGACCGATAGGCAAGATGAAATGAAAGGGAAATGGTGGTGGTGTATCATCGTCTCTCCGTTGTAAATCCATGTTATGTAAGTATACGCTTGCAAGCATTGTAATGTATGCCCATCTGAGGGAAATGAATATAAGTTTTTATCACCGTGATTTACGACGAGTATTATTCGAACTTGAGTGCAAAGTTTCGAGACCCAGTGAAGCAAAGGCTAAAACAAGTTTTTAGTCCATACACCTTCGTCCATGAATGTTCAATAGCATCGAATTTGGCCTATGTAGTTTGCAAAATTTTCCTCTAACTTATGTTTATTTCAATAAAACTACAAAGACGAAATGCAACGGGAAAAAATTGATGGACGAAAAGTGAGAATCTGATAAATTGCCGGGACCGGTGTTTAGCCAAGGAGGAAATACTTCCCGACCGTGCAACATGTGTTTAGGCATATGTTCTTAAATGACACAGCAAGGAGGTGGCTAGACACGATTATTTGGTGTTGTTGACCATGTCCCAGGTCAGCCATATACACACACAGATTTTCACATTTCACCAATTTATCACGTGGCAATAGTTGCATTTTTTAATTCCGTATCAAGTATTTGGTGGACGGTGACGCTAAATTTAGGTTTTCATGAAAGAATCTCTCATCTGAAGGACAACATAATCATAATACATTCGTACTAATATAAGTGTTTTAAATCCATACATTTCAAGAGATGAACTTTGGTATAACCGTTTGACTAAAGCAACTCTCACATTGGGTCGACTAACTTAAATCAACTAAACCAAAATTCAAAGAGTACTGTACATTTATGAGAAGTGCCCTAAATCACAATCATCACTGTCATTTCCTTGATTTCTTTTAACAAACAATAATCGTTTGTAAAAATACAAAAATCAGGAATCACACAAATCACATTCAAATCAAAGCTCAAGAACTCCTTATCAACCAAACATAAGATAGCCAAAACCCTACATCTCCAAAGGATATATTCTTCTAAAAAATTTACAAGGACAGAAGATAGAACACAAAACACAGAACAGCATGCCATCTCGGAGCCATGAGGATTCGATTCGTGACCTGCACAATTTGAAAGGCAGCATACAATGTACTTTTATTAACAGAGGAATAGATGTACAAGACCGGAGAGTTTACCCCTTCCAAGTTCCAACCCAAATCATTAGATAAGAAAGGCTACAACTACAGTATCTTCATCCAAATTTGCTGCTAGAAAACAGACCTTCACGCGTCCGATCATATGTTCCATAAAGCTCTGGACCAAAACTTTCTCGGATACTAGTTTGGCACCCCATATCAGAACCAGATACCACACCCGGATTAATGAATTTAGTGTCAAATGCATTTGCAATACTGCAATGATGAGTTGCAAAGCCGTAGAAAACTGAGAGTCGTTCACTTAATCCTCAGTTCTCACCTCTTCAAGTTCATCGTCTACCTCTTTTGGCTTAATATAACCATACTTTCGGAGAATCCATAGATTCATACGAATAACATTGCCAAAGAAAACAACCACCATTAAAGTCAACCATGTCAAAACTGATATCTCGGTTACCTTACGTAACAGGATTTGCACATGTACGTCATTAGGTGACATATGACGGAGAGTGATGAAATAAGTTATTACTAGTGTTGTGACAGCAACCCACATTATGACCATTTGTATCCACATCCATCTCCTCCGTTTGATAGGTAGCCCGCTAACAAGCAGAAGAATTATGCTTAGGGATGTGAGGAATGAGATTGTGTTAAAAATCATGAATAGACCATACTCTTTTCCCTGCTTAGTTGCCATGACAGATGTTCCTACGGTGTGAGGATTCGCCACAGGGTTGCCATTTTCATCGACTTGCAGGTCATCCTGCCAAAAACCTCCTGGCGGGGTTATTGCAGCTTGGAAGGCAACAGTTGCAAGGAGAGATGCCACCACCATCAATGAACTTCTCTTCCTACCAAGCCAATCAGTAGGCTTCTTGTTCCCAGCCGGTTTCATAGAAACACTCACTCTCGAGGACAGTGCTGAGCCTCGATGTCTTGATATCTGACGTTCCTTAGTTGGAGCACGAACCCAGTCGTGCGCAATGTTACATACATCCTTTGCACTCTGAGCCCCAGCACCTCGAAGAGAATCCTCAATCTCCATATCCCTCAAATCTCTAGGACTCTGCATCAGAATGTCTAAGGCGGTAGCGCTGTTTGCATTCAACGCGTTCACATTCACTCCGGTTTTAGACAGCAAGAATTTGGTAATCTGCACAAATTCAAAACACCCTTTTGTAAAGAAAATGCAACTAACACACGAATTCAGTCCCCTTTAAGAGATGCTCATCAGTAGGAAAAGATATAAATCCATTTATAATAAGCCAATTTCTAAACTTTATCAGTATCAGTAGTTTCTAAATGCTACATATTAATGTTTCCGATACGAGTTCTAGTTGAAAACTGAAACGCCTTCCGCCTTGGTATGATTGGAATGGATAAGTTTCCGTTACGACTAATCCATGTTCTACCTTCAACTCAGACAAGATTTCGAATTCGACTTCCATTTCTTGCATCAAACATACATTAATCCTAGTGAATTATCCAATCCAGACATCAAATGAGGCTTAAAGTATCTTCTTTTGCCCCCTGATCCATAACCGTTGAGCTAGCTATCATTAGCTAATATCAGTGGCGCTCAAGCGTTAATCAGTTACTAAGTTAATACGATTCAAATTGCGTACCTCGGTTTGCTTCTTGGCCACGGCAATATGCAAAACAGTGTTACCGTCACAATCCTTCCAATTCACAAAATCATCATCACTCCCAGCTGCCTCGACCAAAACCTTCAACCCCTCCAACCGGTTACACCCGACGCACAAGTGCAGCGCCGTCTCGCCTCGGTCCGTCAACGCCCGAGTCGACTCACTCCCAACTCGGACCAACTCTCTCACTACTTTAACCCGCCCCTTGGCGGCCGCTACGTGGAGCGCCGCCCTCCCGTCTCCGTTCCTCACCGCACACGCCCCCGGATCCGCCAGAACCAGCTCTTTCACAATCTCCGCGTGCCCCTTCGCCGCCGCCACGTGGAGAGGCGTTGACCCATGCGAGTCCAGCTCGGAGGCCAGCTCGGGGTTGCGGCTCAGTAACTCGGTAACAAAAGCCAGGTGACCTAGCATTGAAGCTACGTGAAGCGGCGTCTCGGAGACGCATGAGACTAAAGCTCTGTCGAGAACAAGTGGGTCTTCTGCGATCAGATCTTTAAGCGCCGCAGTGTCTCCCGCCATGGCTGCATCCAGAAGCTTCTTGTCCATCTTCTCCGCTCGTTTCTCTCTTCTGGGTGAGCTGAAAAGTTGTCAAGCTTCAAACTTTTGCAGCCACGGAATCGTACAATATATATATATTCAGATCTCAATGGATGTGGTAGTGTGAAAGCCACTGCTGAATAAATTAAAAAAAATGAAAACCCAGAAACAAAAAATAATATTTTTTGCCTGCAGAAATTGACCAAAAGATCAAAAGTTGAAATTTTTAGTTTTATTGGTCAGATTAAATTTGAAATTTGATTGGTGTTTTAACGAGAGAGATGATGCCTTGCTTTGGTCAAACGTTATCAGGTGGAGTCGGGGGGCATTTGGGACCCTTTGGGAATGGAAGCTTCCATTTTTGGTGTTTGACCTCTATTGTGTGAGCTTATCTTGTTTTCGTCTATCTTTAGACTTAAGCTTTTTTGCCCTTAATTTACGGTCAATTAATATTTGATTAAGAATTCATTTATTTCTGTATACAATGATTCAACTCAAACTAATTCTATGATGGTGAGTGGTAGATTAGACTGGTCAATAGAACTACTTGTGTTTGATTCTTTTTTACGTTTCTACACATTGTTGGATGTTAAACGTTATTTATAAGAGATAATGCTAGTTATTTGTGTCATTCGTCTTTTTACTCATCCATTTTTAACTTCCGCATACTCCTTTCAATTTTTAACCGTCATATCGAATGAATTGAAGAATATCCAAATATAGAAATTAAAAAGAGCACGAGAAGCATTACATATAAAGGAAAAGGATCCGTGATCGTGACCGTTTATTGTATATCGTGCGGTCAGTTTTCGTTAGGTACTATTTATATTTAATTTTAAATTTTAAATTTTAAAATGATTTCTGATCGTACGATATATGATGAACGGTCAAGATCACAAAATCCCTAGGAGAAGGATCCGGCAAGGATCCTTTTCCACGTATGAAGACCAAGTGTAGTGAAATGGGCGAGTTCATGATCTAAAACCCCTAGTGCAAGCAACTGTTACAAGGCCAAGAAATCAAATTCCTCTGTCCTTGAGGTACTCTGTTTTCAGGCAAAAGACGATCGTAATCGGAAGCACTTCGTTCCAGCTCGAATTGCCCTTCGGATGGCTTTGAGATGGGAGTCACTTGCAAACGGAATTGTAAGGAGAAACTAAACCCTAAACCCTAATTCACCAACAAATTAAAAAACATGATCAGCTCGCAAGCAAAGGGAGAACTTATTGGTTTTGTTTTTTAAACAAAATATAGGATACTTTATACTAAATTACGAGATTTGCTACTGAAATTTCTTCTTCGTAAAGAATACATGCATGTTTATTATTTTAGTTGTTATATTTATTAAAGGTAATTGGGGAAAGATAATTACATGTTTTCAGAACTATATCAATAAACAAGCCGAGTCGAACTGAATATCACTCTCGCTTGTTTAATTTTTTCTTGAGCTCAAGCTAGGATTGGAAGAATCTTTCCCGCTTGAAATCCAAGACCTCGGAACTCCACTAGAATTTACCCTAAAACTTTCAGGAATTGTTTGAGATCTTAACCTCTTAAGTTCTTAACCCACTAAGAACTGCATAAAACAGTCATAGCATTGCGCTTTATAGATCCTACCAATCACGATACATTATCATCATCCGAGTAACAAGGTCCCGAAGAACAAAGTACTAAGTAGAAGGGTTATGCCACCATGGCTCATTCGCCGTAAACTTTTACTAAATAGTTAGCTTAGCTCTATCCAACACGACCTAATTACAAGAGGGGCGGACGGACAAACCCCATCTTGTAATTTCAAGGCCGGACTCTCTTGTTGCTGCATGACGGGCACTTGTAGTGCTTGATGTGCTCGGCTCTGGCAGGAGTGATCTTCACGCATTTTCCATGGAACCACTTCTCACATATGTCGCAGCAAATCCAAAATTCATCAGCAGCATAGCTCCCCCCGCATGCACCACAGACAGTCTTGCCGTGCTCATCATCATCATCTTCCTCATCCAGGCCCTCGTCCTCATTCTTTGGCGTCACTTTTGCATATTTGACCGATTCAGAGCCTCTCTGTCCTCAGATGGAGAATTGGCAGCAGAAACACGTAATTAATAACCAATGTAAGATAAACCCGTTACAAAACAGAGTGCGAGAGATCAAGAGACACGTAATCACTAATTAAATCTTGTTTCTAGTTGGTTAAATAGACATATAAGAGAAATTCATTTTACCCCTTTAGAGCTTGACTTAGGCCTATGGATGCTATTATTTGAAACTGATGACTTCTCCTTTGACTGTCTCTTTGCGATGACTGCCGTAACCTCGAAGATAGATGGCAGATCATTCATCATATTGAAGAGACGTTCCCTGCACCAAAATTTGCAATGAACTTAGTTAGGTTATGCACAATCTAAATCGGTGTTAAATCCTACCCCCACCCTCAAAATGAATCTGCGCCATCTCTAGGCATCCTAGTACACATCAACAATCAATTTGTGCATTGTTGGAATTTTCTACTGAGATAATACCCAACCAGAAAGTTCATTAATATTACCCTGCATGACAGGTACAACAAAGGCAAATATATACGATTTTTGATTTACAATTCAATTTAGTGCGTAGTTATTGTTTTACGATTTCATTGAAGTTCTAAATCCCCATTTCTATGAGTTCTAAATGCCACATGCTGAATTTGAACCCTCTTCAGAACTTATAACAACTTTATTTCTTGAGATTTGACAACACTAACAATAGGCAAAAGATCAGCGACAACAAGAGCAACTTCAAAACAACCTTATTTTTCATGCATAAAGAAATAAAAGCATCACACATACTCAAGAAGGGAGATCTGCGTACCTTTCAGTCTTGTCAAAACCGAATATGGCACCAAAGTATAAGGCCACTGAAAGCAACCATGCATCACTGTGCACAGCTACCAGGGACAACCAGTCTCTTTCTTGCATTCCATCTCTGGCAAAGTTGATGCCCAAAGCAGGTTCCGGGAGCTCGGGAGGAACTTCTTCAGCAGGTAGATTAACTTCCCATTCTTCATTCGGGAATCCATACAAACAAAGATTCTCCTTGTCTGAAACATTGACGAGTCAATTACCAATTACTTAAACATAATATAGAAACACCAAATTAGGAAATAAAGCAATGCGAAAGCATAAGAGCAACTGCCAACGGAAATATTCAACAGGAATTATAATCTTAATTTACAGATACTAAAATGTCCTTCAGCAAAAAGTTACTGATATAACATATAATTGAAAAATCCTCATCAGCCTGTTCACTAGAGATAAATTATCACACAGTATCTCAAGTACATTATCCAAACCCCACGACGATCTTCCAGTTCCGATGACTAAACCCAGAAAATAAATGTAGTGAAAGCTCTTTTTAGAAGTTATATCTCCACTACAGGCAGGATCCAATCAAATGCAACAAAGTGTAACTAGATCCAAGTTAAATGACCCCAGAAGGTAGGTTTTTGAAACGCGATTACGAAATTAGTACTCTCACTCAAATAAGGAAACCACAGAAATTCTATGACTTTCATCTCAACACAACCAAATCATAAGCATCATGTAAAAATGATGGGCGAAGAACGAAACAAAGAGTAAAGAGAACAAAGCTAACAGGGCAACCTAAGCGGGAGTTTGATACCAATTTATTGTCACATTCTTTAGTGTAAATATATCGTTCTATCAAAAACAAAAAGGAGAGCCAGAAATAAAAGGTTCAAGTTCTAAAACTAGAAAAATAAAGTTAGAAAGCAATAATTTTATAAAGTATTAATTTAGAGTGAACAAATTTAATAAAATTAAAAGGCCATGGACACAAAGGGAAAACAGTAAATAAACAAAAAATTTGACAAAACCCAAAAAAAGAAAAGAAAAAACAAAACAAACGGAGAGAGCCCTCTCACCAGGATCGCAATGCTGGTAAAAATCCTCAACATCTGCACAAAGTAAATAAATAAATTCAAGAAGAAATAAAGTTAGAAAAATGAGGAAAACATTTAGAATTTAGAATGTGAGGAAATTAGAACAGAGCCCTAACTAAACGCCAAAACGTCAAAATATTAACTGACAAAAGTTAAAAATATTAACATAAAATAAAATAAAAATTAAAAAGTAAATTAAGAAAGAAGAGGGAGAGACCAGTGGTGAGAGCTTTGATCAAGGCAGCACGACGGCCCTTGAAGTCGGTGAAAACCTCCTCCACAGTGCGCGGGCTGTACGCTGCTGTTTCTCCTCCTCCTACTACTTCCATCACCATGTCCGTACACTTCCTTCTCTCTCTCTCCCCCCTCACTCCTCAAAGCAAACTTGAGATTAGAAAAAAAGCAGCAAGGAAGGACGACGGGTTATTTAATCATTTTATTTGTGGAGAAGCGACGGCGCGAGCAGAAAGACCCACCAAAACCCAAGTCGAACTTCCCAGCCGAGCTTTCGGATCAGCGAGGGTGATTGGACGACGGGTTAGTGGGCCCTGCGCTTCCCTGTGGGGCAGTTAGATAAGATCTCGTAGGGGCTACTCACGTGTCGTTATTCAGACCGGAAGATCTTGAACCAGAGCTACGTTTGGGTACACGGTGGATACAAGGGGAGGAGCACCACCGGGACCACCAGCTGGCACTGAGACTCAATGCGTTCATGAAGCAGGGCTTTGAATTTACAAATATACCCCTACTAAATAGAGAATGAGATCATGTGCAGGATAAATTTTCTATGTTTTTTTTTTCTTTAACAAAATATTAAGACCAAGCGATTTGGCAAGGAATAATCAAACATAGGACATAGGATGAGGAGTAAAAAAAAACAAAGGAAACTTAATAAAAAAATGTTTGAAAACTTTGAGTTTTAACGATAAAAATAAAATAAAGAGTAAAGTAAATAGTACCATGATTGATTTTTTAATGTAAAAATATAATTTTTCATTAAAGTTTCCTAAAAAAAAAGGAATTGTTATTAACACTTCAAAAATCACATTTGTGAGGAGTGTAGAATGAGATTTTTGAAATACTAATAACAAGGTGATCCCAAATTTCATCACCGCGGAGTTTAAAATTCATTTTGCTTTATTTGTCTCGGCAACAACAGGGGAAAATTCCAGTTTCCGGCAATGAGCCTATTTAGAATCTTCGTTGATCACGTTACCAAGAGGCAAACATACGGTTCACATAATCTCAATCGCATTGTAACCGGAAAAACAAAAAACTCAATCGCATTGCTCGGTTGAGACTCAAAGTAAATCAATAAAAGGTAATTAAACAGTCGACTCCGAATGACTTGGATTTAAACCTAACAATTTTCAAAGCAACATTTGTCCCAACGCACCACAAAAGGGATACAATACAAACGGTCTGATGCACCAACTCAACATATATATTTGCATATATAGTGACTTCTTATTTCATACAATGGGTCAGTAAGAACAGATTAGGCATTGCGCGTGTATGTCAGAAGTCATATAGTATATCCATGGCATTCACATTTTCTCCCAATTGTCTCAAGTTTGTAAACCAACAAAAAATATTCAACAGGGAAGACCTGAATAGTTGCAGCGGTCTTTGCAGAGCGGCCCCTCAAAGAGAGCTTTCAATTGTTGCAGCTTCAGAAAAAGGTACAGATTGTGGTGAGTGAGGAGCCAATCAGATTGCTTGAACAAGTCTAACATCCATCCAATCACTTTGCCCCCACATCTGAGAGTGGAGAAAGAGAAAGTAAATCATTTTGCACAAAAAGAATGCTCGAACAAGTAAATCATTTTGCCCCGACATCTAGGACAACTGATTTTACCAAAAGCAAAAGCTCAAAGATTGACAAATATAGATCATGTAATTTGAAAAACAGTATAAGGAACTTACATCCCAAGTTAATACAACATGAATTTTCACCCCCGCCCCAGTGGTAATTTACGGTAGTCAAATAATTAAGTATTTTAGAACTCAACCAGGCGGTAGTGCCAGCATCCATTCCCAAGTTAATCCTTAAATTACACAGTTCAGTATGTGCAAAATGATCCAACATGAATTTTCCCTCTCTGTTCATAATTCTTATACATTCATTATCTTATGGAGTGTTATTTTCCTTCTTTCAACTTTTGTGTGTGCTCTGTGTAAAGATTTTGGAAGACTTCAGTAACCAAAACTTACCGCTATCAGTGTGAGACGATTCATCATCATTTTTTGCTGGACCATGTTGTTGAAGAAACTCCTGGACCGTTCTCCAATAATTATCACCACCAGTGAGCCAAGTATCCATATGCATGCCAGTGGGAAATTCCACAAAAACACACCGCTTATTATGGGCAGCTGCTTTGGCATACAGCATTTGCATATGGGCCGGAGGAATCATCTCATCTTGCAAGCCGGAGAGAAAGAGGATTGGCTGCTTAACCTGCATTTAGATGGTCACATGTGAGGGGCAGAACATTAAGGTAATGGCAGAAGAAAGGTGTCTCATCACACTTTGTTGATTTTGAGGCGACTGCTATTTAGAAAGGATGTTTTTTTTTTTTTTTTTTTTACATCTTTAAGAATCATGTTTAATGTTACTAACGTTTTCTGAAATGTAATACTGGTGCCAATTTTTACACTCGGTAGCTCACTTATAAAGCACAATATGGTTTTGGTGGAAAATGACTTAAAATACAGTTATTTCAACCAGATATCCTGGGTAGAATCAAACATGGACTGGTACAATCAGAACACTGGAATACGTAGAAAATTGAAAAAAACAGACGATAAAAGTCTACCATATTGTTTCTGTTTATCATGTCTAATTGCAGAGTGAAACAATAAATTCTACCACCAAGAAAGCTCACCTCACCAACGACATCAATTGTACTCCAAGGAGACCGTACGAGAAAATTAAGTGCTTTAGGACCTTTTGAACCACTGCCTCCAATAAACCACTTCAAGAAAGGGAGTAAAACTCCAGCCATGTCCAAAATAGATGTGAAGGTGTTTTCCACTATCAGTGCAGCAACCTGCAAGGCATAAACAGAGAGAAATTATTTCAGCCTACCGACCCAAAAAAAACATTTACGATTTAAGTACCGTAATGGAGGTGAAATTTCCAATACTCAAAGGAAGTGAAAAACATTAAGTTGCAACAGATTTAATAGAGTGATACCTTATCAGGGTTGTTTTTAGTAACCACAGTTCCAACAGCACCCCCAAGTGACCTTCCAAAGACAACTATTCTAGATGTGTCAATGTCAGTCCTCTGAGAAAGATGATCCAATGCAACCTAACAGACAAAAAGAAAAAAAGAAAGAAAGAAAATCATACAAACAGCATTAAAATATAAATACAGTAAGAATCATAATTCAACTGTAAATGAAAAGCATACCTGAGCATCTTTTATGATCCCATGCTGAGAAGGATATCCTTCACTTGCTCCATAACTGTTTATATCAATGAAGATTAGCATCTTAGTATGCATACACCAACACAAATTTTCTTTCCAACCATCATATATTGCTCCCAATTAAGCTGTTGATACAATAACAAAGCAACAAGACAGAAACACAGTAGGCACATACCCTCGATATGAAAGCATGAACACGTTACATTGCAATTTCTGTAACATTATCCGAACCATTTCGAGGCGATGAGCAATGTCTACAGGTCAGTGGTCAAGGCCAATAAAGCATATAGAACCCTCAATTCCCCACTAAGTTCATGAAATTACATGTAAACCAGAATGAAAAATCATGAAAACAACGCACAATGTCATTGTTTCCAAATTACAATAACAAAGACTGACTATTCTGAGAAAAAGGATACTTCCAGCATTTTCTTGGAAAAACAAGAGGGTTGGACCTGAAAAGCAAGCAAAATAAGAATCTTAGAATCAAATATTGTTCCTTGTGTGCTACGAACATACCGAAAAATTCGTAAGCAGTCCAAAAGAACAGCTTAATTTTTAAGTAAAGACCTAATTACTTTGAGACAGACGAATTTTTAAAAATGAATAGGGATTACTGTGGAATGCATGCATTTCTAGTAAGCTCTAGTCTAAATTAACAAAAACAAACACAATTAGCTAGCTGCTTTGGGTAATTCACTAAGCCCCATAACCGAAAAAACCCCTAATTGTCTCATCAAAACCAAAACCCAATTCCAATTCAGCAGAATTCACAGCTCATCCAAATCAAACAAAACATGAAATTAAAAAACGAATCGGGCAAAGAGAACCGGATCGGACCTCGGCAGTGGGGGAAGAGCTTGATGAACCAAGCGTGGAGGCGAACGCCGTCGGAGGACTGGAGCCAGACGTCCTCGTAAGTGAGGCGTAGGCGGGCGGGGGTAATCGGGTAGGACTTGGTGAGACCCGGCAGGACGGGGACGTAGACAAGCCGCTCCTGGAGGGCGACAAGCAATGCCATGCCGGCCACCACCAGGCCGCCCACCCCGTACAGCAGCGCGTTCACGTACGACACCATGGCTGGGTGGGTGTGTGAGGAGCTTTTTGCTGGGTTTGGGTTTTCGGCTTGTTCCAATCTCCGGCTCCCTTTTTAACTATCTGGAAAGTGCAAAGTGGAAATTTGGGGGTTGAAAGTTCTGATTTTTTTCTTTTAAGGAAAATTTGAAATAAGCCTAATTTTATAGACTATCTTTGGAAATTCAAAAGTCTAATTTTTAGTGATTTTTGACTTTTGAAATAGGTTCAATTTTTAGTTACTTTGGACCTATTTCAAAAAACCCATTTTTTTTAATACATCATTTTCACATTAAAGGAGTAGCAACTTCGGCTAAACCACATAATAAACAACTTGATTTGATATTAAATTCATCATCCATAATATTCAAACATAAAATATCTCACTAGTAGCAGCAGTTGATAATTCTAATTTTTTTTTTTTTTTAAATGAAGGAAATGAACAATGGGATTTGTTTTGGTCAATTTCATTAAGGTGAGGGTGGGGCCATGTAAATTGGTTTTGCAACTTCGTAGTTCGTATGATGAGATTTCCTATGGACTTCAAAGTCTCATTCTCAAACACTAATTTAAGGATTTTTTAACCGTAATCTTTTTTGATTAAGAATGAAAATATAGATTTGACGATTAAAAAAATTTAATAGAAAACATCATAAAACTGATACGGGTCAAGCCAAGTTAGTTGGAGCAATCAGTAAAGTGTTATTTCTCTATTAAAACAAAAAGTCATAAATCAAAGTATTTTAGAATATCATGTTGCTTCCAACAAAAAAATATTATTTTTTCAAATTATGTAGGAAAAATTTGTTTGATACCGAATACCATCATGATACATTGGCGCTATTTTGTCAAGGAGAATACTTGGCTCCATATATGTAAAGGAAAATACTTAATTCTTAATGTTAAAAAGAGAACAATTCGGAACCGTTCACTCTTGTAGACAAATTAAAATTTGACATGTGTGATGTAATGAGTTAGTTTCCATATGTGCCGGCTTGCAAGTTGCAGGTAAAGAGAATTGGGTGCGAGATGCAGGCAATGAGTTGTTATAAGAACGCTTCAGCATCACGTTATCAACTTTTAACCCAGAAAACATCATCATCCAAACTTTTTGAACTCAAAAAAATAAATAAACAAATAAAACAAACTTTATATCAAACCAGCTGCAAGCATAAACCCAATATTATGCAAGGAATTTGCCACACGAATGCAAGGACGTACATATCGGAATCGAATCAAACCAAACTGTTCCTGTGCGACATTCGCAACGTAGCTTTTAGCCGGTTTGAATCAAGGTTAACAACACAGAACTAGAACAAGAGAGAATACATATGAAACCTACGAGATTACAGCATCTCTATATGCCACCATTTCATTAGAAGCACGAAAGGTGGTTGATCTTCAGTTTTCCAATCACCAGTTGTCAGAAAGATGGTAGCAGAGTGAGAAAAGCCAAGGATGATTTGCCCAACCGGTGAGAACAAGATGGTCTTGTTTGTGCTGACCTCTCACCGGACAACAGAAGCAGAGTGCTGGTTTCCAGCATGCATAAACCCGCCATGGAACTCCATTGCTCCACTCATGTGGGGAGGGATGCCTGAGAACCTGCGATCTGCCTGCCGAAAGTTGTCATTTGTGTTGGAAACACTTGTCATGTCTGAGTGGATTGCAACACTAGGGAGGAATTCACTGCTTTCCGAGTGATGACTTTCTGTGTCCCCTGTATCTTTCTGATGTACGCTGAGAGAGTCAGAAACGTAGTGGGTGCTACTGGAGGCGTTCTGGTCTGATTGCCGCTTTGTGCTGAGAAATCGTCCACCAGAGCCCCTTACCCTATTCAGGGCATGAAGATGGCGAGACTCGTGGAGATAAGGCTGCATTGATTTAAAAGTGTCAAGAAACATGGGTTAAGGCATGGTTTGGATCGATGAGGTATCATTGGTTACACAACAAGATCAGGATGAGTAACATGAGATTCTGGTCTCCAAACTATGAACACAAACTTCCATACAGAACCAAATGCAGCAAAGGAATCAAATTGAACTATGACTTGGTAAGCGTACATACCTTTCGAGATTTGAGAAGTTTGTTTTGAGCCTCCAACTTCGCACGGGACTGTCTCCTTCTGAGGATTCCACGGTACTGTTTTGCATTGACATAGATGGGTCCATCTTGTGCCAGATCAGGAGGCAACGGAACTCGTGTAGGTACGATCCCAAGCATATGGGACTGCATTAAGTTAATTTCCAATTATACGCTCATAAAAGGTGGTGACAATCACAACAAACAAGAAAAACTAATAAATATAATCTGGATGATGGAGCTCAGACCAACATAAATTGGATATAAAACTTGTTTGTCCAATCAGATGAAAAATTGTAGAATATAGATTCATCTTAAACAGTTAAAAAAAAACAATTAGCCGCATTTCCTTAGAAGCAATATGGGGAAAGAATCTAATCAAACACCAATGGAAACAAAACTTACCATAGCCTGTGATCCATATGCAGTCGCGAACCCACTGAAGTAAGGGCCAACATAAGGATATGGTATGCAGCCCTGGAAGAAAGGAGATGTTCAAATTAGGAACCATCTAACGGTTAAATTCTGGGTATAACAGCTCCACCTACCACTACATTGCTGTAACCAACTTGGGAAGGGTTCGACATTAAATCTTGATTACTCGGCAAGAAAACTGGCTTCAGTTTCCCATCAGCACCCTTACCATATGTTTCATCTTCGCCTGTGTTCAAGGACAAGAAACAGAAGAGAAGAGAACTAAGTCCACGAAAACAAGGGGAACAAAGAATGCTTTAATGGTAAGCATATGAGCTAAGTACAAAAGGGAACTATGTCTACAGAAATTTCACTTCTTAAAACAAACTTTTTATATCAAAAATTTGTTTATTTTTTTTTTTTTTTTTTTAATTTCATTACAACAGTGTACTTTAGAAATTTGATACCAAAAGAATGTGTGCAAGATATTACGATAAGATCATAAACCACGAGTTTATATACCAGATTGTGATGAATTGCACTGACCTTGAGAGTGACCAATTGATTGGGTTGTGGATGATGATCCCTGGTCTGTTTGTAGTTGAAGTCCTAAATGCTTTGCGTCATGATGACCTTGTGGCGGAAATACCACTTTGAAGCTCACATCCTTGGATAAAGACTCTGAAATTTGTCGTTCACTTGGATTCCACGACATGGAATTAGTATAAAGGGGCATTGCCTGGACGGAAGTTTGATTGAAAATGTTCTTGTTCAAATTTTGAGTCGGTATAGATGATTCTATCGTCGTGTCCCAAATTTTATGCAAAATCAAAAAGATCCTTAATAAGGACATAAGTACTACCTTGTATTAAGGACACTTACAATTATCTACTCAGACTAAATACACATACAATGGCTAAGTATGCAAGCATTCGATCGCCTTGTGCATTATAGCACGCGAGCAATTACACCCATGAACATGAATGAATATCACAAACAAACCAACATAAGAAAACTCACTGATAAATTGGAACCATCCAACAGATTATTCTATCTTAATCACTTATCCAACAAAAGCCACAGTATCTCTCCTACTTCGAATCAGATTTATATCAGCAAACGAAGCATTTACAGCTAATAAGTTGGTAGTCCTGTTTCTACCTTCTAAATGTATCAGACTCCGCATGCTAAGAACACCAAGAAGTGGGTTTTCCAAGTTTATACAGATTGCATTTAATATCTCAACTACCATGTAAGTAAAAAACAAGGTTTGGAAAACCTGATGGAAAATGTCAGTAAATATTACAGAGAAGTTTACATGCAGTACCAGCATGCAACAAATTAGACCAATAAAAACAGATAAATGAAAAGACTTCGAGATTTCCAGACCAACTCCAATCATACCAAAAAATAAAAAATTACAAAATATATTACTCTCCCCATTACTCATTCAATCCCACCAGAACAAAGCATTGTCCAGAAAAGCCAATAATAAAAGAGGAAATAAGTAAAATTTAAATAAAAACAAATAAAATGCAGAAAAATGTACAAAAATAGAAATAAAAACATACCCAAAACAGGTATGAAACCAGAAACTGATGAAGGAGACAACTTTACTACTTTCCCATCTTCAGAAACACCTGAAAACAAAACCAAATGATCTCAAAATCTACATGCAATCAGTAAAAAGCAAACAGAAAGCAACCCACTTGGATTCTACACCCATAATTAAATAAATAAAAATCATCATAAAATAAATTAGCAGAAAAATAAAACCCATAAATGGAAAAAGAAAATAGAAAGGCAAGAGAGAAAATGAAGCTATAGGAGTGAGAGAAAAGAGAGAGAGAGAGAGACCTTTGGGGTCTGGTAAGGGATGAATGAGCAAAGAATATAAGTGTTGGGAAGACCTTGGACATGTCTCCTCTCCTCCAACTGTCTAAATAAAACACTTTCTCTCCCCTCCCCTCCTCTCCTCTTCTTCCTCCTCAAAGACTCACTCTCTCTCTCCTCACTCTATATTTTCCTTCCTTCTTCACGGGCTTTGCTGCTGTGACAACACAACACACACAAAAACGTGATCCTAAATTCCTGATTAAAAGCACTTGCCACCCATCTCTCTCTCTCTCTCTCTCTCTCTCTCCTTTTCTTGTATTTTTGAAGTTTTCGTCCTTTTCGTCTTCTCCATTGGTGGTGGGCCCATTCGCACCCTCAACGTTTGGCTGCATACACTTTCCCTATCACAGCCGCCCTTCACTGTTTTTCCTCACTTGTTTTCCACGAGAAGATTTTTTATTGTGACGGAAATATGGACGGTACATCATTTGTTTTTATATAAGTGGTGAGAAATTGTATTTTTCAAATTATTAACTTTTTAGTAGACATATTCTACCATTGGTATAATAACACGTAGTCTACTATCCCGTATTTCAATCACACTAAAAAATCTCTCTTTTCCCACGCCTACATTTCCCACTCGCCACCACAAAAGTGCCCGCGTTATTTTATGTTACACTTTTATCCATTAGCATAGCCAGTATTTTCAAATAATGAAGTTATAATATCAACTAAAAAGGTTTATTAGGCTATTTCGTCGAGCACCTAGTAAACACCTTCTAATTCTTGTCAACATATGTTGAAAGTTTATGTCGACATTTGTTGAGGCTTATTAAGAGTGAATGTAGGATATTGGAGAGTTGTAATTTGATAGAAGAAAATAAAAGACGTAGGAAGAGGAAGTTGTAATTTAATTTGTCTTAAATGTTTTTAGAAATCAAACACAATATACAAACAAATATATAGGATTTTTTAAGTTGTTGGGATTAAGTACTGGTTTGGTACTGAGATATTTTTATAAAAAGTGGGTATAAAAAAACTGAGCTCAAAAAAGTGTTTGATAAACACTTAAAAACAGCTTATTTTCACAGTTTTGAGTGAAAAAAAAAGCTAAAAACGTGAAGCAGCAAAAATGAGCTTATTCTCACGGCACAGCAGAAACAGTTTTTTTTTTCAAAACATAGCAATACCAAACCAGCTCTAAGGACAATCAAGATCTTATGCTGACTCTGTCGCCGCTTCTATTTGACTGGAAAATGTTTCTCACGCACCGCCGCGGCAGAGTTAGCTTCCGTGAAGATTCTACAGAAGAAATTATATCTTGTTTGTTTTTCAAATTTGAAAAATATAAAAATATTTAAAGTATGCTTATATAATAAATAATAAAGAAAACTAATGAAAATAATTTAAAAGTTTTGAGTTTTAACGATAATGATAAAATAAAGAGTAAAATAAATAGTACAATGATTAACTTTTTAATATAAAAATATAATTTTTCATTAAAATAAACAATATTTAGAATTTTTCATTAAAAATTCTATTAGATAATTACAAAGTTAAAAACACGTCAACCTAAGACGTGATTAGGATGAGGTTTAATATTTTTTACCCAACGCACATCATTCAGCCACCTAACAACCACATTAAAAGCATTATACTTTTCTTCAGATGAAAGGGAAACATAAAAGATCAATCAAAGCCACTTATTAATACGATCTGATAGTATTATTATTTATTTAAAAGTAAGAAATTTTAAGTTTGAATTTTATGGATAACTAATTCGATATAAAATAAAAATTTTCATTGTGTGGCTTAACCAAACTCTCTATCATTCTAATGTAAAAATATCAATGTACTAAAAAAATAAAATAAAAGATCAATTAAATATTGTTTAATTGTTATATTCAAGATGAGGATAAGATGGAAAAAGCTGGTGTTCGAGTTATGATGTGATAGCTTTGTTTTTTTTTTCTTTGACTTCGACCTGCTTTTTTAATATCCAATGCAGTGGAAACAGATAACATCAACGACAAAACTCAAACAGAAGCGCAATGATTCTGGCTAAACTTAATCACGTCCAAATGTCGAAATAACTTGACGACTATAATCATCAGAGTGCAATGTGATGTGCGCCGACGACCAATGACCAATGACTGCTCAAATCATCGCGATAAGTTTTATGATTATATGAGATGATATTTTGTGTAATATTAGACGAATTAGGATTCTCGCTCTTTCTCTTTCATTATTTCCTCTTACATTTTTTTTTAATAAAAAATTAATATAAAATGTTGATGTAGGTTAACGTGACCCTTCAAATAGGAAGGGAGAGAATATGAGAGAATCATACTCTGTATTGGACTCCTTAAATCAGTACAGTCATCATCAGAATGCAACATGAAAATGTCACGCCATCTCTCTAGTACTGCGCCTATCTTCAAACAAGAGTCTTGAAAGTTATAAAAACCCGCTTTCTTGTCGGAAGTTTCGAGCATGAGCTCAGCATCATTGTTACAAAGAGCACGAAAAAATTACTTTTATTAAGCGTTTTGATGAGTAGGAATTTCTCATTATCACTCTATATCTTTTTGTTATAGTTTTGAATCGCTCGTAGTTCTATAAATTCTTCGTCTTTCTTGCGAATCAAGGCAAGTCGTTCTCTTTGTATTACTTATAAAGTACCGTGATCATTTTCATAAATGATTCTATATACTATCTATGAGTGTTCTAATGTAGTTTACGTTAAATTTAATATAATTAAATACTATGTAAACTTATTTTTGACCTAAATCTTGCGTAACAAGGTAGAGGAAATGTCTCATGAATTTTTAGTTGCACGGTTGCTGATTGTGGCTGGAAATGCCTTCTACCGGACTTTCTGTAAGGCACCGAAGGAACCGTCCGATTGTTGGTTTTCCATTACCCATAACTCCATGAACTCTTGGTCTTCTTTGCGAACCAACGCTAGACGATCTTGGCAAGCGGCCGGATTGTACTTCCAATACTTATCATTGCGCACTGGATGCGGTAGGGCGAAGGTTTTCCAAGTGTCTTTGTCTTGGTAGAAAGCCAGTATTTGATTGTTGGTGAGATGCCAGTAAAGCGCGCGGCACGCTGAAACAGGTGACTTGGTGTCGAAGAAAACCCTCGTAAGGTAAAATCACATCGTTCAACTGCTTCCAAGACCAAGTGTTTGAATCAAGGACCCCACATCTAAGGTGGTATTGATACGAGGGGTTGGTCTTGGGCTTCGATAACCAAATAATCTTAACGTTTTTTAAGATTGACATAACTTTTCACATTAGTTCTGAGATTTGAAATCGATAGAAGTGATCCCTAAGTTTGTCCACCGTTAATCATTTTTATCATTCTATGAAAAATCTCCGTTAAATAAGAATAAAATGACAAAAGTACCCTAATTTTTTGTCAAATCATTTTGGCTCTTTGTTTATTAAATTGAAAGTATTTTCGTCATGTTGATCCTTAATTAACAAAGATTTTTTACAAACTGACCAAAATGATTGACTATGGATAAACTTAGGGACTACTTCTACCGATTTCAAATCTTAGTAACCAAGGTGAGGAGTTATACCAATACCATGTTGGCTAAAAAGCTACTCTTAAATCAAGTGCTCAAAACTGGGTTCGAATTTGAATTCAACCTCAACACAGCGAGAGCAATGCCCTCATTAAAATACCTAATCTTAGGACTGGTTTGGTATTGCTATGCTTTGAAAAAAAACTGCTTCTGCTGTGCTATAAGAATAAGCTCATTTTTGCTGCTTCATGTTTTCAGCTTTTTTTAACTCAAAACTATGAAAATAAGTTGTTTTTAAGTGTTTACTAAATACCTTTTTGAGCTCAGCTTTTTTTGATACTCACTGTTTATAAAAGCACATCTGTACCAAACCAATACTTGGACTCTGGTATATTTTTCAACGGTTGAGTATTAGGAGCGGGACAATGACTCTCTCCCTTCTTTTTTTTACTTCTCCTTTCCTCCACTCTTGTTCAAATGCTCAAGATTTCATTTTGTTTTTTTATCTTTGTAGAGAGAAGAAAAGAAAAAAATTTGTGAGAGAAAGGGAGGGAGGGGAGAGAATCCCATTCGTAGGAGCGCAAACACAGCAGCGAGGATCCTTATGGTTTTTATGGCTGACACCGACTAGCAAACCTCGACTGTCGGCTTCAATCCGGTATGGAAGAGGTGAGAACCAGAGTGAAATTTATCGTCAATAATCAGTCCTTCCTTGCAACCATATATTTAATTTTGATGAGTTCAACAATTAAAATTTGATTTCTGATCGTTTTAACCAATTTCTTAAATTTACTTACCCATTCTAACATGATTAAGTAGTTTAAAATTTCTTCTGATAAAAAAAAGTAATAATAATAGCGATTTACATTTAAAGAAAAGAAAACAGAAAAAATCTTCCAGAAGGTTGTAAATATGTTCACGAAAATATCAAAGGAGGAGGAGCAGTGAAATACTACATAATTACAGATAGAAGAACTGAAGAAGCAATACATTAATCAATTAAATAATTTATTTGGCAATATCCAACAAATTAATTGAATATCCCAAATTACAGGGAGCTATATATCAACTGCAAAAGTTAGCTACCTGAATTGGTAGGATCCCGGCGTGGCGTGGGATCCGATCCTTGAAGCCGTTTCGGGCCTCGTTGAAGCCATCAAGACGGCAGAGTAGAGATAGATGACAACATAATCTTGTAAGTGTGTGTTTCAGCAAAATTTGCGGTTCATTTCTTAGGCTTCAAGGGAAAAACATGAACTAGCACTATAATCACAACCGCCAGTTTGGAAGACGATAATTCATCAGTTGTATCTTGATGCACCGGATTACCTGAAACAAAGGTTGAACGAGGCAAGTGAACACAAGAATATAGTATTCCGCCTTCAGACAACGTAGCTTCAACCCTAATGTAGGTAGTTTGAAGAGATAAATGGTGCAAAGGCGTGAGAGAGAGGGAGCTTTATAACTCACCATGTAAATCAGAGATCTAAGTTGATTCTTTCAGACCATTTGAAAATATCAGAGTGCACTTTGTCCCCGCCCAATTCCGGTCCCGTGGCACCTGCTGCCACTCTTAAAACATCCTCGATCAAAGCAAAGTTTCCCATTATGTCAACATGAGCACCACTTTGGGTGCCCCGGCCCTCTAGAAGATTAGCTGGAGGGGCATGATCATACTCCCTTATGTAAGTAGGGAT